TGAACAGTTCCGCGAGCCTTGACTTCAGCTGGTTTCTGTCTGCAAGTCTTGCCTTCAGCTGATTTGTAATACTGACAAGGAACGGAACAGCTGAACATCAACTTGTTGTGCCATCTTTACTGCTTGCTAATACCAGTCCGAAAATATTTCTCTGCATTCGCTCGTTTCATGCGAAGGTCCTCTATGATTCTGTAAACTATGTGACAGGCTTGAAAAATGTCTTGGTTTCTTTCTTGTAACTTTTTATCAGAGGTCGTAGAGGTTCCATTCCGTTCTAAGTCTTGTGCCTTTATTTTGGTTTTTAAGTCCCAGAACCATCCTTCTTCAAAGCCAATGCGTAGCGCAACATAAAACACGCTGTAGAGTTGGGTCTTGAAGATAGACTCTATTCAGGGCCGTCGCTAATCGCTTTTACTTAGGGGGGTGCCAGTCACAAATTTGCCGACAAAATAGGGCGTGACCTAAGGTATTTCAATTTTTGAGTGTGGTATTTTGACGCAATTGATTTTGTTTATCAAAGAGTATGTTCTCGTTAGTCAATCATCGCTTCAATTTTCGAGTGACTGTTGGTACTTAGTTGGCATGAGTACATCTTACTAATAAGACCGCCAAGAGCTTTCGAAGACCCGAAAGAAGAGGCCTCTACGGGCGGAGCGAGCAGAAATTTTTTGCGACCACGCCCTTTAGGTTGTCTTGAAATGCATTTCAGAATATTTCTTGCAGTCATTCCTTGCAATCGTTAAAAACTTTCAGCTATTTTTAGACATACTTCTTCTACGTTTCATTGATTTCATGCTTAAAATGAAGTTCATTACTACTTGAGGCCCCATCAACCTCAAGGCCCTGAGGCACTTTGCCCCCTTGCTCTCCTCGGCAGCGCCAGTGGCTTCCAGTCGCCCTGGATATTGGACATTAGATTCTAGACTCCGGCTGCCGACAGGGAGTCATTTGAAATTTTGGTGGACATTTGCCCCTCCGTGACACCCATAGCGCCATCTGTACCTATTTTGAATTGCTGAGGGTTTTTGGGTGATACTTGTTCGGTCTTATCCTCATCTTATCCAAACTTTTTGCTAAAGCCAGCGCATTGCGAACTTCGAAAGTAAAACCCGACAAAACTCTACTTTTAGAAAATTTGCCGACAAGAATTTTCTAGGGGGGGTGCCGCACCCCCCGCACCCCCCGTTAGCGACGGCCCTGACTATATTGCTGCAACATGATGACGTTCGACCCAACAAGTGCGTGAAAGTTTGACTAAATCATTTATCTGTATTCCTGCGAGGTCCATTACATCTCCGGAGTGTGTCATTTACTGTATGACCAAACATTTTAGCGTAATAATAAAAATATTCAAGCAATTTTCCAAGAAAAACGGCACTTTTCCCCTTTTGAGAAAAAGGGCAGGGGTCTGGACACCCAGGACCCCCCCGGTAGTTGCGCGCCTGCTTGGGTCTGTTTTCGGATCAAATACAGGCATCGGCACAATATCTAGTTTTGCTGTCATTTCGCTTTTTCCTCGTCGCCAATATTATATTCTCACTGTGTAGAAATGCTTAAAGAAACGTCATGTTCTCGAGTCGATACTCAAATTTCAACTAACTATTTACATAACTAACATGTGGCTAATAAGCAGTCATAGGGTGCCCATATCACAATGTAACACCCACAAACCGGGTTTGCATCACATTTGATCGAATAATATGGGATTTGCATCTCAACCGCAAATTAGAAATCGCGTGCGAAATTGCGATTGAAGGGGAAATGGGCCTTAAGAGTTTACCAACGGCTTGACACCTTGATAGCTGCATAAGTGGGGCAAACTGTTTGCAAAAAAGTCAGTATATTTTATTAATTTAATATAGCATTTAAACAATTTTGTATCATGTACATATACATTAATATAGCAATCGTAAATTTGTTTGACCTAGCATCACGAGTATTGCGTGACAATGTTGGAGCGGTTCTGTTCAGCTCAAAATAAGAAATTACATGTAACATCAACGCTTGAATTGAGATTACATGCAAATATAGCAACTAAACTAAGTATCGTCAGGCAGAATCAAGATGTGCTAGATTGAAAACTCTACGCTAGAAAATATATATACCCAGTTGTGGATCGAAATAGGCCTATCAGAAAAGCAAGCACATAGCTGCGAGGTTACCCGACAATTCCGCCTGCTTATATAGGCAGGGCTATGGCTGTGAAAATCTGATTTCTCACCTAACCTAGATGATCTCGATGGTTTTATATACTTTCGAGTATGGAGATTCAGAATCCAAGATGGGGCTAAATCATTTTGGCTCAGTATCAGGTGATTGATGACGCCATTGATAACGGCAAAACCGTCATAAATCCGCCATATATTTGAAATAAATTGTAAAAATTAGCAATTCTAGGTTTTATGTAAATGCGCATTTCAAGAGCTTCCAATTGATGTATCATATAATCGAGTTTGCTGACGTTTGCTTATTTTGTGACGTCATTGGTGATTTTTCCAAGTTCTGCCACAACATTTGTGCTGATAACTAAGTGAGTTGGAATTCACTGCAAATTCGCTTAAATTATGTTGATCTTGATATGTTTGATACTTCTCGACATTATTTGACTATGCTTGACACTAATAAGTCATAATAATCATCATAACGCACCTGTATAGTTCAACAGCAATGACGAAAAAGCAGTTTATTTACTAGAGATATTGTTTTGTGACGAACAGTAACGTTTATTTGAACAATAACGCTTTCATTATGTTGTGAGCTGTAAGATTATACTCCGTCTTAGTATTCGCTGTTATGGAGGAATTTATGTTAAATCGCTTGTTATTGTGCGTAAAGCTCCTCATTTTAACATACAATGCCATTTTGGCAGGGCCGTCGAGAACCATCTCGGGCCAAGGAGGGACTCCTAAAACTTGTTTTTGTGGCAAACTCTTTTAGATACAACTTTCTAAAAATTTGGTGCAAAGATTGTGCAGAACTGTTTAGTTCATGAATCAAGAGACGCCGTTTTTCTCAGTGATCAACTTTTAGAAGTTTATTCCATAAAAGTAGCTTAAAGTAGTATTTGTAACAATCTGATAGTAATATGGTGTAAGACAGTTGTCTATTTTTTATTTTTCACGCTAAAACACTGCGGCCTCGACTTCAAATTAACCCGCTCGTTCCCAGTAAGAGTAAATGTAAAATTTTCGAATTGAAATAAATAATCGAGGATTGAATATAAACTATGATTAAACATGAATTTCAAGATAGGAATAGAAAATTTTGAATAAAAACGTTATTGATTAAATATAAGTTCAAGGATTGAATAATAAAATTGAATAGATCACAAACTTGATATATTGAATTATGAAAAAGTAAAATGAAGCCAAAAAATTGAGTTTGGAATTGAAAATAGATTTTATTGAATATAAACAGTGCATGTTTGAATATTGTTACAAACGGCCAGCCATACTCATTAGAGACGGTATTGAAAATCTAGATATTCAAGATGCCACGCCAGTATTTATGCAAATCGACGAGGGTTCCGATTCGGAAGAAATGGACATCTTGTAGATGTGTTTGCTTTAACAAGTGTTATATGCAAATGCAACTATATTTTTTGTAAAAACAATGATCGTTTGAATTCCAAAGCTCAGTTTGTTTAATTGGTAGATATTTTCAATAAGTGCCTCTCTCTAATGAGCGCCCCCTCTCTAATGAGCGCCCCTCTATGAGACCAAAAAATAAAATGAGTGACCAAGCGTTCATTAGAGAGAATACGGTGTGCATCCGGCTGACAATGAACTGGCGAAACACTGAGGAAGTTTTTCTCGTCAAAGAGACAGTCTCCTTCGCAGTAGACGTTATAAGAAATTGAGAATCACAGGAGCAAAGCCTTGATTTTAGTTCTTCTACTTGGCGTCTAAGGAAAAATATCTGGCTGTGAAAATATGTGGCACACGCAATATTTTCTCCCATGCCCCCCCTCCGGTTCCGGCGGGCCTTTTTCGACACACTCAATAATTCACAAAAGGTAAATGATCGGCATGAAGTCTTGGTACAGTACAAACTGTACGCAAAAAGTTGGCATGTTTCGTGTGGGCTCGGAATTTTGGAAGAAAATACTTTGCATATGGCTTGAAATTAGATAGCTAGTGATATTTAGAGCACATGTACAGCACTAATTCCATCCACATCGCGAATTGTTTGGTTTTTTAGCGCACTTGAAATACAGTGCTTGAGCCAGCATCACTTCAGTGACTTGAAAACCTAAATGCGTCACACATTCCTGAAATTCCTCACAGACCGCGCACAGATTTTCCAACAAAAAGGCTTTAAAATCGCAACTTAAAATCGTTAACATTTCCTGACTTAACCATCGGAATCAGGAGCACTGACTTGACAGAGAACATCAAGAAAAAGACTTAGATTTTTTCATTTCAGTGGCACTTTAAGGAAAGATAACAAGGAATTTATTAAACAGCCATAGTTTGAACAGCCATAGTCATTTAGTTTATGAACTGCAAAATCTTAAGCCTTCAAGTTCGAGGAAGAGCTTTGAAAATACGACAGACACTGTTATCTGCACAGTGAATAAGCTTCACTGTCTTTCACCACGAATATTAAATGCAATTAGATAATAAGTAAAGGAATCCATGTATTTTCCAAGGCTTTGGTTATATTGATCAACGTTCACATCAAGTGGTGGTGACCTTAAAAATGCCAAATGCCCCAGAAACTATGATCCTCGTTGCTAGATGTATTATTTTGCTTCTCTTGTGCTTTTACCGCCATATTCTCTTCTCTACATGTCCTAAGGACAAAGCAGATTACAACGATTATGTAACTGCTCTGCAGTCATCGTGTATGCATGCCATATCGAGTGACATTTGTCAGCTGTATCATTTTGTGTGAATGCAATATATAACTATTTTAATTGTCGTGTCTTTTACTTTTAAGGAAAGATAACAAGGCTTTCATTAATGACAAATGTTTTTTCAAAGCATCTTTTGTTTCAGGTTAATTGCAGCTTATTACATGGTATTTTGAGATGACATCACAGCTTGAATTTTACGTCAACGGTTAGTAGCCTCTTGTTGATTCTTTAAAAGAACTTGCAGTCTTGATTCCTGAAAAGAATTTGTCACAGACAGTTTCTATATCATCTGCGGAACTAGTCATTGTCGTCTGCATACTTATCAGTGGCGGATCAAGCCAAACAAATTTGACCACATCCATTTCCTTCTCTCACCCTGTTTTCTATAATGATTTTGTTTTCTATAATGTCTCATGTAGACCATTTTTAAGACACAAGCGGCTCTTTTGTGAAACTAGCTTGTGTCCTTGAGAAGCAACAAATTATCGTTGCTATTATTCTGAGGCTGGATATTCTAAAAACATTTACGGCATAAAGCTTAAGCAACACCACAGGATAAGAAGAAGAACGATATTTTTGGCAGAATTCTGAGATGTCGCCTAGAAATCGCATTAAGTTGAGAATTTCTCATGAAAATCAGACCTGTTGGAAATTATAAATTGAAAAAGCCATATAAAATCTGAAACCTTTGATCATACTTTTGGCAAAATTTGTGTGTTTGACTTTTTATCCTGATGCCTTGTTAAATTTTAGCTAGTTAATATTCTTATAAATCATATTCCTATTAACATTTGTGTATTTTACTAAATAATGAGTCACATCGGATTTGAAGTTACAGTTTGTCTATTTGCAAAATATGTAGGCATCACTCCATCTTTCTGTAAGATTTGAGCCGTGTTGAGCGGCAGTACTACTCAACCCCCCCCCCCCCCCCCCCTCTGAGCTGTAGTCAACTCGGTTGTACATTGGCTGTCAACTAAAGTTTTGATTGGCCGTCAACTTAAGTTGCATGCATCCCCCTAGGTTGGCTGTGATTTCTGATGATTTGATTGGTCTAGACAGGCTGACATTACTGATCTATAAAAAAGACTGGATCGAGCTTCTAATGTGACCAGAGTGTCGCCATCCGAGAATAAGGCCCCAGAACAGCCCATGCGAGGAGACGTTTTCAGCTGCTCTGGCCTTGTTCTTTCTCAGCAATCATACACACAGCTTTGCAGCTCTCGCGTATCCATATCGTTGAAGTATTGGTTTTGAGGAATGGCTTCCCGCTATTATTTGGGGCCCTCTTCCTTTTGAAATTGAACGGGCTTCAAACTTTGGTATTTCAAGACAATAGGAAGCTCGATCCAGTTTTTTTATAGATCAGTGGCTGACATCTGCCCCCTAGCTAGCAAGTCACGATTTCATCATCCCCCCGTGCTAGCTTTTCGTTTGCAAGTATAGCCTTATTCCGAGAAAATCGTAAGAGCGTCAGCGACAGTCTGCGTCAGTCTGCGTTGGTCTCCCGATTTTATGGAACACTTTGTGTGAATCCTAAGGATCGGGAGAGTTGATATGTGTTCAACTTTCCCGACTCTTAAGCCCCGTTAAAACGCTCTCAACATTTCACTGAACATCGCTCAACATTTGTAGAGTGCAAATGTTGAGAGCGTTTAAACACCCTGTTCAGTGATGTTGAGTGGTGTTGAGCGGTGTTCAGCGATGTTGAGTGGAGTTTGAACAGATTCAAAAATGTTCAGCGGGTCGACTCAACATTTCTATTGTTAAAGATGTTGTTGAGAGATGTTGAGAGCGTTTTAACACCCCATACAACAATGTTCAGTCGGCGCAAGCGCACTAGACTTGGATTTTGCGCGTCAAAGAAAGGCTTCAGCGTGTCAAGATTTCAGATCAGACCAAGAGGTTGAGAGAAGTTGAATTTTATAAATCGTAATGGCACACCATGACAAACTCTTGGAAACAGTTGGCAGTGAAAGTAAATCGGATGAGATAGCAATTCAAAGCATGTTGCAAGACCAATATCCTGACCTTAGGAAATCATCAGGCAGCTACTGTTAAAGTGAAAGAGTATCCGAAGTTCATCTTCCAAACTTGTCTTGGATCTCTGAAAGTCCGAAGTTCACCGCTCAACGAATGTTGCGTCGAATTGTTGAGAGCGTTTTAACACCCCATTACGACTCTTACGATCAAAGAAAATTTTAATGGGAACATGGGTCGCCGACGTCGCCGATCCACTATTGTTAAGAAACAATCACTTGGATGAAATTAACCAATCAAAGGAAATGATTTGGCACGTTTTTGCCATAGAGATCAGAAACGCTAGAGTGCCGACTAGGTCACGTGATGTGTGGCAATCATGCACTGCAAAGATGGTAGCTTAGAGTGGCAAAAAAATTGCGGGAAATCTGTTGTGCGACTACGATGGCCGGCGAGTGGCGTTTCTGTCAAAAATCGATCAAAATTTCAAGCTGCACTTGCTCCTTCCTGCAAAACTACCTTGTTTAAGTTGTAAATAATAACCTTATTGTATATATTTTTTAAATTTTTGTAAATCGCCAAGTAGAATCAACCAAAACACGATGCCGAAGTCTTGTGCTGCATACAACTGCACCAGCCGGAGCGAAGGTGAAACGAAGTCGTTATCATTTCACAAGTGAGTTGAAACTGTTCCTGACGCGAACTCTTAAGAGCAAATTTGTATCGTATGTTCTTAGAACTGCATATTGCGTGGATCTTGATGTACTTTTAGAGAAATAAAGGGCCTAGGTTTCCTTTTTTATTGAGGCCCTCTTTGAAGCGGCAATTCGTTTCAGTATTATGACTTCTGCAGGAATTTCACATATTTAAAGTACAATACTTATGTTATGTTATACACACATTTTCATAACAACTCGCTATAAGATACGCGAACTGAGCCGTGAGAAAAAATTACGAAACTTCAGTACTCGAAGCAAACCAAAAGGACAGGGTTGAATTCTGTATAAATGCAGTACTTTGCAAAATATCATAATTTTTTATCTAAGTATGTAAAACAGTTCACCAAGTACATTAGGAATAACTTCTTTAGTGAAAGTATGTACTTATCACCCCGTTTACATTAGAGAAAATGTAAGAAGCAATGATGTCTCCTGCCCCTCCCCCATCTTTGCAGGCAAGTTTTTAGACTTATAAAACTCTTGAAACAATGAATGGTAGGATTTGCGAAAATCTTCAGAAATCACCATTGACCTTAGTGTTTTAGAAGAATTAATATATTTGATAACAAAAATTTAATGATGCTGTTATTTATGCTTATTTGTTTTCTTAATGAATGTAAAGAATGATGATTATGAACTCTGAGATCAATTTGTTTTTATTGGATTTGCTTTTCTAACTATTTTGAGGCTCTCTCTTTTGGCAATGGCGATAAACCTTACAAAAAATTTATCACATTTTCATTTAGATTTCCACATGGTAACCCGGAGCTCCTGAAAAAATGGGTAATAGCAAGTAAACGTAAAAATTGGCATCCAACTAAAAGTTCTGTACTTTGTGAAAAACATTTTAAAGAGACAGACTATGTTCATAGTGACTATGCAGAAAGTATGGCATTAAAGTTGGAAGTTCAAAGGAAACGTTTAAAGTCTGATGCAGTTCCTTCAAAATTTGCCTTTCTTGACCATCTTGTCCCTAAGGAAAGTAAAATAAGAAAGCCACCTGCTAGAAGGAATATCCTTAAAAAATGTGATGTTGCCCAATCAACTTCTAGTGAAACATCTATGAAGAATTGTGATCACTCGTATGCTGCATCACCCTCTAAGAAGGTCAAGAAACTATCAAATATGATATCCAAAAAGAATAGGCAAATAAAACGGCTTAAGGCCCAGAAACTTCGCAGAGCAAAAACTATACGCAGTTTAATCAAGGAGTTGAATAAATATAAATATTTAACAAATGCAAATGCTGACCAAATGCTGATTCAAAATTTCAATGAAATGGCTCTTGATCTATTCAAGAACCAAGCAAGGAATAGTGAAAAGAAAACTGGTTCAAGATATGATAAGTCCATAAGAAAATTTGCAGTCACTTTACATTTTCATAGTCCTAGAGGCTATCGATATGTAAGGAAAACACTTTGTCTACCAAATCCATCAACTATTAGAAGTTGGGCAGCAAATATTGAAGTTGAGCCTGGGTTTCTTGTGAATGTCATCAATTCATTGGAGCGTATGGTTCCTTCTGATCAGCGTGACAGTATTATCATATTGGATGAAATGTCATTAAAATCATAAACAGTTTTGGACAGAAAAACTGGTCGGCTCTTTGGTAATGTTGACTAGGCTCTATTCAAGGTGAACCGAAAGAAAATGTGGCAACTCATGTCCTTGTTGTAATGGCAGCAGGACTAAAAATGAAATGGCAGTACCCGATTGCATATTTTCTTACTGCCACAACAGGTTCTGACATTCAGGCCCAAATAGTTACCACATCAATAAACTTTTTAACAGAGCATGGTTTCAATTGTCATGCATTAGTCTTTGATGGAACATCAAAGAACTTGGCCACAGCAACCAAGCTTGGTTGCAAACTATTTGAAAATTTTGATGGTGCTTTCAACCATCCATCCAGAGATAGTGCAAAGGTCCATGTAATTTTAAATGCATGTCATATGCTAAAACTGGCAAGAAATGCATTGGCAGAAAAAGGCATATTTTACAATGCAAATAAAGAGCAAATAAAATGGGACTTCATAACTAAATTGCATCAGGTCCAAAGTAGGGATATCTTGCATCTTGGTAACAAGCTTCGTGGCCAGCATATCAAGTGGCGAAATCACAAGATGAAAGTGAAAATTGCAGCCCAAACTCTCAGCTGTTCCGTTGCCTCAGCCATAAACTTCTTGTGTGCTCTAAGATTTTCTGGATTTGAAGACAGCGCAGCAACAACTGATTTTATTCTTAGAATAAATGACCTTTTTGACCTGTTAAATAGTAAAAACAAATTTGGAAAAGGGAAAAAGCAACCAATAACATTGGAAAACATTTATTAATTGGCATATTTCATTGCAGATACTGAAAAGTATCTAAAATCACTTTGTGATGCTGAAAAACATATCATCTACAAGGGTCCTCGAAAAACATTCATTATGGGTTTTATAACAACAGCAAAGTCAATTATTGCCATCAGCAGAAATTTACTTTCACAACCAGATAATAGATTTGAGTATGTTTTGACATATCGTTTCTCCCAAGATGCTTTAGAAATGTTCTTTAGCAAAATACGTGGTAGATTTGGCTGGAACAACAACCCCAATGTTCTTGAGTTTAAATATGCATTAAGGGCTCTCTTACAAGAGAATGAGATTGACTCTCCTGAAACTGCTAACTGTGTAATGCCAAAACAGGACTCAGAGCCTTCACAGGATTTGGACCTAATACCAAAAGATGAGCCCCCATGCGATCCTCGGGTGTACTGGCTTTTGAACACAACAAATACATGAAGATATGATGCTTTGTATTACATCATTGGATATATTGCCAAACGCCTCATTGAACAGATCAATTGTCCAGAATGCGCTGTTGCCCTCTATGAGCCACAAAAATATACAACAAATGCATCAACCTTGTTGTCCTTCAAAAGTCATGGGAGTTTATTTATTCCATCTTCATCCACTATGCGTGTAGTCCAAGAAACTGACAAAGTTGCAAGGGAATTGATGATTTATTGGCAAAATATGTCAAAGAAGGTAGTAGAAAGGTTGTCTTTGCGTATTCTTGAAAGGTTAAGAAACAGAGTCTTTCTTTCCTTACAACAGCATTCCATGGAGACACACAAATTACAGAAAATGGAAGCAGATCATATAACAGCACTGATCAAGTCTATTTGTCAATTGTACATGAAAATTTTCATTTACCAATTCAGCAAAGTCCACACAGAGCGTGTTGTTAAAGCAAACCGTCCATCAACTAGGCATAAGCTGCTGAAAACTGTCCTCTTTTACAACGATTAGCTGAAGTTGAATTGGGATTCTTTGCTTACAGCATCTGTAAATATGTATATAGAATGGTGAACTACTCTGAAAGGATCATCATTACTTTGTGTTTACAAACGTGAAGTATATAACTGTGTTTCACCTTATTTAAAAATATTTCCGTTAATGAATGTTAGGTTTAGCTATGATGTGACGATGTGGACACCGTTCTTTACGACTCGCAACGATATCTCCCATCAATCCAAGTATTGCAAAAGAAACGCGGTTTAATCAAAATCATTTGCAAACCTTTAACGTTTTACATTCATCTCCGTAGACAGCTCCCCGCCTCTTTAGACCAGGAGCTCCCACAGCCAATAAATGCCCCCTCTTCAATACCACGGGTTAAGGCCTAAAAAAGCTTGCGTTTGTTTTTTGAATAAATGGCCCTTTATATTATAAAGAATATTAAATATTTTCAAAGGTACTCTACATAACTATTCTTACCTAGTTTCATCGCTGCAAGGATGTGATCTTGACAAAACAAACTTCCAGTGATCACTGCTTCCCTTTCTGCCTTCATCCGAATCTTGTTCCTTGTCCTTGTTCCGAATCCATTGCCATAAAGATTTGGAAAAGTTGTCTCGTTTGTAACAAAGGTTCTCATGTAAACCGTAAATATGTTTATTCTGTCACGTATAAAGTTTCCTTCTTAAATACCTTAAGATCAATTGTCAGTTTAACCTTTACAAGCCATTTCCTTTGGAAGCTCTGTAGTACTACTATAACCGCTGTAAGCTTTTTGCCACTCTAAGCTACCATTTAAGCTACCATCTAAGCTACTCTAAGCTACAAGGCATTAGCCTGAAAAATCGCATGAAAATCACAAAGGCAATTGCTTAGGCGACACTCTTATACGGATGTGAAAGCTGGACAATTAACTAGAAGAGCATGGAAAAGCTGAAGGCCTTCGAGATGAAATCTTACCGAAGGATGATGAAAATAAGCTGGCAGGAGAGGAAAACGAATGAATTTGTCTGGAATAAAGTGACGGAGACGTTGGGCGGCAGGCCGGAATCAATTACAGAGACAGTCAAAAAGAGGAAGCTGAAGTACTTTGGACACCAGATGAGGAAACCAACAGCGATGACAAAGACATTGATCCAAGGGAAAGTTGAGGGCGCAAGGGAAAGAGGCAGACCAAGAAGGCAATGGGAAGACGACATCAAGGAGTGGACTGGAGAGGGATTGCGAGAACTATCAAGAATGGCGATGGATAGGGAGAAGTGGCGGAGCTCTGTGCATGGTTGGGCGCACCCACGGCCTACATAGGCTTAGGCGCAGAAGAAGAAGAAGCTACCATTTTGCTTCCGCATGCTTGCCACACGCGTTGCTCATAGAATGGGCCCTAGTCGGCACTCTAGCGTTTCTTATTTCTATGGTTTTTGCTTGCTGTTGTTTTGTTGTCATGGGAACATTTTATCTTTGATCGTTATGGAAGATGGAAGAAGGGAATGCCGACACGTTCCCGACTCTTGCGATTTTATGGGAACACTTTTTCTTTGATCGTTATGGAAAATGGGAGAAGGGATCAGCGACACGTTCAGCGAACCAGGCTTATCTGACTTGGCACGCAATTTTCATGGCGATAAGGACTCAAAAGCATTTCTGTCTCTATGTCAATTCAGGCATGTCTCGACTCTCGATGGAGGGATGTCAGGCATAATCATCAATAACAAAGCTGTTTGATATGTTCCATGTCTCCTGCGGCAACTCTTTAATCGGTGACAGAAATATGTCCAAAAAACATGTGCAAAAGTTTAAGACAAGGAGGGAAAATTAAAAAGAAACGCAATTACTTCCAAAAAACACCATATATATTGATGTATTGATACTGAATTGAATATTATCATTTTATGTATATTCTTTAAAGATATCTTTAATACACACTTTACAAAATATCTTTAATTCCAGTGAATTGCATTAGGATGAATGTTTAAACAAGAAATGTTATTTTGATGATAGCCTAGAATAACGGAAAAACGTGTCACGTGGTCTTAAATTTTTGCACACGACTATAGAATTTTTAGGAGCAAGTGCTTTCTTTACTACACATATCGCTTTTGCTTATTTTGGTCAAAATTCTTTCAATTTCTTTGAAACACAGAGCATCAACTCTGGTACTGCATTTAACCACACAAGACAAGGCCCCAATGATTCAACCAATTTTCCCATCTATCAAATAAATCGCAAAAATATTGATTTCACTTGCTATATCAAATATCTAGCGGTACAAATTGGTGCATAACTAAACTGGGAAAAACAAATCAAAACAACTGCGAGAATCCAACATATAGTAGAATATATTTTTAGAATGAAATGAATCGACTGAAAATCTAATTTTTTGTTCTGGTTAACTGTTTTTAATAAAATTTAATGTAAGCATCGCGACAATTATCAACATAAGCAATACGACAACCATAGTGAGTCAAAAGACAGATTGATATTAAGACAACTTTTATGGTTTATTAATCCTTGAATGGGCTTGGAATCCCTATATGCATGTCATACGATTTGTCGGTTGCTTGTACGGACCTTACTTTCGCTCAGCACACACTTTGACCTTTAAGCCCCTTTCTTTTTGTACACTTTCGACACATAAGAACCTCCAGTTTATAGCTTGTGTGTAATTAGGCTAGCTATGTTTCGGAATAGTGTAAAAATGTAAATCAGTCATTTTAAATCTACAGGGCGGAAAGTCGTGGAGAAAGAACCTGACCCAGAATGGACTCTGTTGTTCTATTTACGAGAAAAACTGAGCTTATGTGGAACAAAACTGGGATGTGGGGAGGGTGGTTGTGGTGCTTGCACTGTGATGGTGTCAATGTACGAGAAGGAGACGAAGACGATTAAGCACATGTCAGTGAACGCTTGCCTTGCTCCTGTTTGTGCGATGCATGGCCTAGCTGTTACTACAGTTGAAGGCATCGGTAGCACGAAAACAAAACTTCATGCAATACAAGAAAGAATGTCGAAGATGCATGCCTCACAGTGTGGATTTTGTACGCCAGGTGAGTAGCACTATATGGACTCAGTCATGCAATTATTGAGAAAGGTTAGATAAAATTTTTCTACTTGAAATTTTTTCACTTCTCTAGGAAAAAAAGGTGCTGACAACATCAAACCTCTTTCAATTACATAGATTGAAATTATAAAGTTATCACTGAATTTTATGAATTATATCTGGTACCAAATTGACCCCCATTAGTGCATGACGTCATCTAAAAGTTAAAACAATTTTATGCAAATGGCGTTGAAGTCATCTGCTACTGAACGCCTTCTACTTGACTTTGAAGGTTTTTTCATTCTTTGTTTGCATCATGAGAATCCTTTTCTTCAAATAATAATTTTTTCTCCTTCAAACCACTGCTTAGGTCGCGATTATTACTTTTTCTCTCTCCAATCGGTAAGGTGTTTAAAATGAAAAAGTAAGGCGCCTACTCCCAATTTTTTCCCTGGTTGTAGACCTTAGGCAAAGGTTAGCGCACCATGGCAATCCCTGTCCGGGAAAACGGCTTCAGTGCATCCTGAAGATCTACCGTTTTGATTTGGCCTAGCAATCCAGGAAGCCAGGAAGGAAGCTCCTGTGATTGACAGCTTTTGCAATTGGCAGCTCTTGTGATTGACAGCTTTTGCGCTGTCCTTGACAAACTAGAGACTTTTCAACTTGTTTGAAAGAAATACAATGGCTTAAAATCAACAGCAACAACAACACAAAAACAAAAAAAGAATTTTAAAACAGTAAAGAGTACAATTGTTATAACTATTTTTAATATAACATTGAAACTAGAGATTAAGAATGAAATATCAGCAAGCAGAACAAAACAAATTTGATAATAATTTCTGTAAGGTTTTCACGATGCGTATCACTTAAATTTTCTCGTGATAGATCCCATAAATTATGAAGTGGCAATTTGAATGCAAAATTCTAATTCCTTAATTTTTTTTTACGTGTGTTCTTCAAAATATAAAAATTTTCCTTTCGCAAGTATCATAACCACCAACTATTTCACAAATTTGAAATGGCCCAATGATTTTTAAATAAAACTGCTTTCTCCCTATCACGTGGCACATTGAGACGCAACGTCAAAGGATAGAACTCTGTTGTCTTGCTAACAATCTATGTGACGTCAAAGGCCATCAAAACGTCATTGCCTTGTTCATTGTCCTTCAGGTTTAAACTTGCATGCCATTTTTTGATGGGTCCGTTTCCCTTACAGGAATTGTGATGTCCATGTACACTCTTCTGCGGAATAAACCAATACCATGTATGGCTGATGTTGAGGAGTATTTCAAGGGGAATCTCTGTCGTTGCACTGGCTACCGACCGATTCTCGAGGCGATGAAAACCTTTTGCATTGCAGAGACGAAAGAGAGGCCAAATGGAAATGAAGAGTGTGACGGCGGAGAAAGCAGCATGGTAAACAAGATGAATGAATTCACGATTGGCTTCTCTGAAAACTGTGAAAGTACAAATGGCGAAATTGGCAATTCTTTAGAGAAACAATCGCCAAATGCTGATATTGATCATTTGAAAGAAGCACAATTGGCAGCAATGGAAAATACTAAGGTGCAGATGAATGGGTTTCCTGATATGCAGGACAACAGAAACAGTTGTTGTGGAGCAGGTGAGAATTGTTGCAAAAAGTCAACAGCTCCTGACAAATGTACTGGCATTAAATTGAAGGAATCTCTTGAAGTACCTGATGCCACTTCTCTCAAATTTATTCCATACGACCCAAGTCAAGAGCCAATTTTCCCACCCAGTCTGCTCCTTTCCAATGGAATAAAATCAGAGAGTTTGGTTTTCCCGGGTGAAAGAGTCACCTGGTACAGACCAACAACTCTAAATGAACTATTGTCATTGAAGGAGCAGTTTCCATACGCAAAGATCGTTGTTGGAAATACTGAAGTAGGACTTGAGACCAAGTTCAAGCACCTTGAATATCCTGTCTTGATACACCCAAGTCACATTAAAGAGTTGAAAGAAATATCTATCCTGGAAAATGGTGTGACATTTGGGGCCTCAGTGACTCTTGATGAAATGGAAACTGTCTGTCGAAGAATGATCGAAAAACTACCGGCCTACAAAACCAGAGTGCTCAGTGCTTTTGTCGAAATGATGCAATGGTTTGCAGGAAAACAAATACGATACGTCGCAGCAGTAGGTGGAAATATCATGACTGGCAGCCCAATATCTGACCTAATTCCTATTTTTATGGCCTCTAAATGCCAACTTGATGTAGCATGCAAGAATGAACAAAGGTCGCTGGAAATGAATGAAAAGTTTTACGTTGGCTATCGAAAGACGTGCCTCAAACCAGAAGAAGTATTAGTATCCATCACTCTACCATTCACTGAAACCAACGAATATTTTCAAGCTTATAAACAAGCAAAAAGACGCGATGACGATATTGCAATTGTAAATGCAGCTTTCAGAATGGTAGTGGAAGGAGCTTTGGTTAAGGACGCTACATTCTGTTATGGAGGACTTGCACCTACTTCAAAATTGGCCCTTAAAACTATGGAGCTTCTTCAAGGGAAACAATTAGGAGACGGAACTCTTGAAGCAACATTGCGGTCAATTTGTTCTGAGTTTAATTTGCCTCCAAATGCTCCAGGGGGCATGGTACGTTACAGAAGATCATTGGCAATGAGCTTGTTTTTCAAGTTTTTCCTTCACGTTGCAGAAGTGATAAAAGTTTCGACGTCTGGTCTATTGAAACATTGCTCCAGTGCGACAGAGAAGTTCCATAAAGGTGTAATTAAAAGCAATCAGTTCTTTAAACTGTCTGATGGGGAGAAAAAAGTAGTCGGAAAGCCGATACCACACAAATCAGGTGATCTGCACACGACAGGAGAAGCCGTGTATGTAGACGATATGGCCAAGACAAAAGGCGAGCTTGAATTAGTGTTTGTCACAAGCACAAAACCCCACGCCAAGATACTGGACATAGACCCATCTGAAGCATTGCTTATTGATGGGGTTGTTGATTTTGTGAGCCATAAAGATTTACCCCCAGAACGAAATTTAACTGGTATTCCTGATTTTTCGAATGATGAAGAATTGTTTGCATCCAAAGTCGTGCACTTTGTTGGGCAAGTGATTGGTGCTGTTGTTGCAACTGACAAAAACATTGCGAGAAGGGCTGCAAACAAGGTAAAAGTTTCTTATGAAGAACTGCCTGCAATCGTGACAATAGAACAGGCAATTGCGGCTAATTCGTATTATGGTGACTTGATTGAGTTGAAGCGTGGAAACGTACAAGAGGGATTTGATAAATGCGACCACATCATAGAAGGGACAATGAGGACTGGGGCGCAGGAACATTTTTATCTTGAGACACAATCATGCATTGTATTTCCTTTGAATGAGAATGACGAAATCATAATTTATTCTGCAACCCAGTCCCCAGCTGATACACAGAATGCCGTTGGGAACGCGCTTGGTCTGGATTACAACCGCATCGTTTGCAAGACCAAAAGACTCGGAGGTGGTTTCGGTGGCAAGGAGACAAAGGCACCTATCATAGCTGCTGCTGTTGCTGTTGTTGCTTGTAAGGTGAGACTTTTCTATCAATTTTTCTTTGAAGTTTTAGGAATCAAAAACCGAGAATTTCATCTCAGCCATAGTAATTAGACTTTGGAGCACAATCTTATTAAGAATTCCACTTTTAGGAGATGAGAATTCTTGTAAGAGTGTCAGGATTCCACTTGCTTAAAGCAAAGCAATTTCCCGCTCTTTTCTATCTACATTTTGTCAGTACACGTCACTATTAGTAATGAAGAACTCAGTTAACTGAATCAAGATATGACATGTCAAGAAAAGACCCTGCATCCATTTAGCGTGAATATTATCTTCATTTGGTACATAATTACTTTTGCTTGCAAGCTAAGACGTTTTTCCGTGTCACAATGAACATTTTTCTTCACTTTTTTAGTTATTGCTTGTTTAATGAACATTAGTCTCGTAATTAATTCACTAACCATTTGCACGCGACTTTAGTTGTTGATCAGATAACTGACCTTATTTTGAACCAGATTCTTTTGTTGTTACACCTTCCCAGCCGTTCATATTGAAATAGTCAATTTAGTGGTATCTCCTGCAGTATCTTTATTCGCAAGATTTATATTGCCAGTATCTTTGCTATTTTGCCATCATAAGTGTATCTCATTACCTGCTCACAAATTCACTGTAATATCTATAAATCTCCTCTTTTCCAGGTTGGTAAACCAGTGCGAATTATGCTTGACAGAAACGAGGATATGATGATGACGGGGGGTCGCCATCCATTTTTGAGCAAATACAAAATTGGTTTCAACAAGGATGGGCACATTTTAGCAGCAAACGTAGATTTGTATTCAAACGCTGGCTGGAGCGTCGATATGTCTTTATTGGTCCTTCAAAGAGCTGTAATGAATTGCGAAAATTCTTATTTTATTCCGTGTTGGAGGTCATCTGGGCGCTGTTGTAAAACAAATCTCGCTTCCAACACTGCTTTCCGTGGATTCGGGGCTATGCAAGGTATGTGACACTTGATCAATAATCCAATGACAACTCTCCGCTTGCTTAACCTAAATTTCTCAACTTTGCCTTTCCTACGTTTTGTAGAGAGTCAATGAAATTCTATTAGTCAAAGACCTGTTCATGCTATAGCGGTAGCGGCCCTAAAGATAGAGCTTCATAATGAAATTAGCTGTACCAAGCTATTTAAATGTTCTAATATGACTGTTTTGTCAATAATTCTAGACTTCATCAAGGCATCGAAATCGAAATTATTGTATAAATGTTTTTGAGGTTTTCTCATTTCCAAACAATATCAACGATTGCACAAATACGAGAACTGAGCTTTAATGATAGGAGTACCAGTGACATATATTTGCAATGAAAAATATTTTTCTTTGCACAAACATGATTACTCTGAAATGAACAGCGGATGGCACTTCGCGATATATTGCAACAGAATTTAGTTGATTTAGTATGTCACAAACCGTCAAATCGATCTTTCTTGTCCATTGTCATGTTGTTTACGGACAAAATGATACTGGAACTGCCCAAACATATTCTCATCTCTTCATTGTATGAAACAGAAACATCAAACGCTTACAGATAGAGCACTGATGGTTTTTTCCAAGTCTAAACTCGACTCGGAAATTGAACAACTAAAAACGATTTTTCTGGAGAACGACTATCCAGAGGATGCCATTCCAATTTACATTAAGGAGAAAAAAGCATATTTCTCGGCTGACAAAAAATATGGTCCGCAAAAGTGCCCGGTCTATCTAAAAGTACCCTGGATCGGTAACAGTTCCTGCGTTTTGGAAGTCAAATAAAAGAGGCCATTACAAATTGTTTCTTTGCAGTGAATCAACGTATTGTTTACAGTACAAAAAAGGCCCTTCCATCCATTCAAAAGGACTGCGTTCCTAAAACACAAAAGAGTTTTTGTTGTATATGAATTTACGTGCCAGTTTGATTCTGGCTACGTAGGACGCACAACCCAAAGATTGTTTGAAAAAGGAGGAATTTCAGTGATGGTCTAGGAGTGCGTTAGGCTTAATGGCGTCGCCATTTTTTTCTTCGAGGGTGTTTGTTGAACGCCGCATATTATGATGCCATCTTCTAAAACACCTCCTCGAAAGTGCCCAAAAAAATCATCATAATTATATAAATTAACATTCTTTTCTTTCATCGAGACAATTCTTCATGTCACAGAACTAAGAACACAAGCGATTTTTCTGCTCCTAATTGAATCCTAACTCTTTCAGGGCTTTCTCAAAATCCAGACCCGAAAGTTGCTGAACTGAAAATGCTATGACTTCTTTGGCTATTTACAAAAAATTCAGCGAATTGAGATCCTCCGAGGACCAAGCAGCAATACGTTGATAAAAAGTCTACACAATAGCGGTTTTTGTCGTGAATTATCTAACAGAATGGACTTTATATAACATCAAATAATCCAACAATTAGTTAAGAAATTTAACAGGATTGCAACTGATCTAGAGCAGATAGTTCAAAAATGCACTGCTCTTTCATGTTTCAAAACATCATGACAACAGCAACAGCAGGATAAGTTGAGAATGCACACTTTTTTTAAGATTATAATTTTAAGCAATGTTTTGATTATAAATTGCCAAAAACCTATCTTTGCCAAAGAGAAAATTTTGCAAAATATTTTTTCTTTTAATAGGGATGATGATGGCTGAAACATGGATTAATGACATTGCAACATTTTTGGGAAGGGACCCGGCAGAAATCAGAGAGAAGAACATGTACCAAGGTGGAGAGGTGACCCACTATAACCAGGTCATGGAACCTGGGACCAGAAGATGCTGGGACAAATGCATTGAGAAGAGTAATTATTACAAACGCAGACAAGAGGTAGAAATATTTAACGATGGAAGCAGATGGAAAAAGCGTGGCATTGCCATTGTCCCTGTGACATATGGCGTAGGCATCGAAGCTTCATTTTTGAATCGCGGCGGTAACTTCCTAAGCAATTATTATTTTGAGAATATAGATAAATCTATATAGGTACTCAATCAATTTTTTTCAATGCTGATGCTAATGCTGGGTAGGAAGGCTATCCATTAATCGATTAAGTACTCAAGATTGGACGATTCACGGTTAAGCAAATAGTTGATCTTATATTCTTTGCCTGTAGTGCTAGACTATCGCTGCTAGACATGATTTTACACAATTGACATCTGTACTTTTTACAACTCCCACTGTTATTGTGTCCCTATCTAGCCTACGTACCTTACCTATTTGTTGATTAACTAAACATTCTCCATACCCATATTCTTAAAACATCCTTGAGGTTCTTTCTTTAGACTGCTTGCATCGATGCATGCCTTAATTTGTAATTATTCTTTCACAAGTTTTTCCTTCCACCTTATCTCGAAAGACTTGCGCTTTGCAAAAAGGAAATGTTCGATTTTTATCTGGTTTATGCGATTAGGAAACCTGCATTTCTTTCTTTATTGATACACGAAGTATTCAAAGCACTGTGTCCCATGTGCAGTCACTGTAACATTAATGACACGATTTTATGTTTTCGTCCATTATAGGGACGATTGAATTATCACATGAGAGGACAGTAAAAATTATCCGGTTCTTTATTTGCATCTATATATAGCACAGTACACTGAATTTTCAATCAGAACCTAATTACAGCAAGTTTTATTTTCATACTTAGCAAAAAATGCACCCTTTCCTTCAACAACTTAAAATTATTCTGTAGGTGCCCTTGTGCATATATACTTTGATGGAAGCGTACTGGTTTCACACGGAGGAGTCGAAATGGGTCAGGGATTGCATACGAAGATGATTCAAGTGGCAAGCACTGTTCTCGAGATACCTCACAACAAGATTTTAATCTCGCATACTGCAACAGACAAAGTGCCCAACACGATTCCAACCTCTGCAAGTCACAGCTCTGATTTGCAAGGAATGGCTGTAATGGACGCTTGTCAGAAACTGATGAAGCGTTTAGAACCGTACCGACAGGAAGAGGAGACATGGAACGACATTGTGAAGAAGGCCTACTACGACAGAGTGTGTTTATCAGCGACTGGTTACTACAAAACGCCAGACATTGGCTACGACATCAAGACGAATACTGGACGAGCGTATAATTATTACACATTTGGAGTTGGATGCTCTGTTGTGGAAATCGATTGCTTGACAGGTTTGCCATTCGATGTTTGTTTCACAAAGTTTCTATTTTCTTACCTTTTTTCACATTCAGTTCAAAGATGAAGTGAAGGTTTAATGATTAGTAGAACCGCATTTTTCGTATAAATCAGGGGCGGATTCAGGGTGTCGCACAGGTCGCACGGAAGACCGTCAGATTTTCAGAATTTAGTTTTAGTCTTCAGTCATTGAAATAAAGCAATCATGTTTACCACAATCTTTTATTTTCCTCCTTAAAGATAATAAATTTTGCTCCCGTTACACAATAAACACAGGACCGAACTTGGTCGATCTCACACACAATGCTACGATTTAATTCAATATAGAAAAAATTCCAATACCATCCTAGACCGTAAACAGTATGATTTTTAAGCATGTCGCCCGTGCCGCACAAATATGCAAGGCTCTTTGTTATGCAAATATTTTACCAAATCTCACCAATGAAGATTCAATTTTTCACATATTTGTGCGGCACGAAAAGTCTGTAAACACTATGTTAAATTACTGTGCCGCACAACTGCTGGCAAGGGAAGAAAGTGGATGAGGTTGTAAAGTGTACACTTCTGAATCTCAAGATATTTTGTTTCAACTGCGTGTTGGATTTCTGGGGGGGCTCTCCCCTTGATCATGAGGGAGGCCCCCTAGACCGCCTGCTGGGCAGTGTTAATGTGCGACCGTCAACTTTTATTCTGTATCCGCCCCTGGTATAAATATACTTCATGTTTAAATTCTCTGAAGGTTGGATTCCCTTCAACATAAGCTGGTTTTCAAGGGGCAATCTGATGAAAACATAAATGCAACCAAAGGAAAAAAATTAAAAAGCTTCTGATCAAATTAAACTAAATAATCTTCTTAACAATATAACAATACCCTAAACCTACAATATTAACGAAAGAGAAAGCGTTTGCTGCTAAATAATTTTTTTGACAGAGAGGTTGCCTGCTTTGACACGGCCGATAGGCTATTCCATATCTAAGCCTAAAATAAAAATATTTCTGGCCACTTTCGGATCGTCTTTCGGCAACCTTAAATTGATCCCCGTGTTACGAAGGTTCTGTGACGAACAGAGCGAATTTCGGGTGAAAAGGTCATTCAAGAATTGGAGACACATAAAGACCACGGTCTTTGATCCATAAGTAGCCTGTTCGTGAGCGGTCTTCTATGCCAGGTCTTCTATATCAAGGCTGTAATGAGCCTATGATCCTAGCAATGCGTTGAATAAACCAGAGCAGTTACAAAGGAAGCATCAGTACCAAAAGTGGGACTCCATAATACCTGTACAGACAATTTGCAAACTTCATTTTGGAGGAACTGACAGAGACAGGTATCTCTCAAAAGTCAAACTACTTGGTCGTGATATGCATATAATAAGTTTTCGCAACAATCAGGAAAAGCATGTTGCCTTTAAGCAATGTGTCCAGTTCCCTAAGATCGAGATTGATAGCCTCAGTTAGCCGAATCAGATCATTAGACTGGTAGAAAAAGTGGTGACGTCAGCATACATGGACACTTTTAAATCTTGGACTGCTTGTGATGGATCATGGTTGTATATGAGAAAGTGAAATGGGCCAAGACATCATCCTTGTGGAAAACCGACTTATATATTATCAATTTTGGAATTAACTCCATTAACTCTACAAAATTACTTCCGGTTGGTTAGGTAGGATCTAAACCAAGATGGCCCACATTGTTTGACACCGTAAAGCACGAACTTTCTGCAGAAAATTTTATGATCTACGGTATCAAATGCCTTGTTAAGATCAATGAACATTATGCCCGAAAGCTTTCCAAGGTCCATTCAATTGTACTGTTGAATGAAGGCCCAGAAGGCGGACTGGCCAGATGAAAAGTGACCGTTACCATTCACATAACGGTGCAACTGATTTGTTGGTAGCTTTTCAAAAAGCCTTCAGATGACAAGCAAGACTGATATTGGTCGATAGTTGGACTTTCTAGTTTTATCTCTATCTTTGAAGCTCGAAGTAACTCTAGTGTTATGTTTTTGTACACTTCCGGTTTTGTTATTATTATAAACGGCAGGAAATTTTCTTATGTCTCCAGCAGAGAAGCAAATTTTTGAAAAGAGCAGTTCAGTTCTTGGTTTTTAGATAAAAAAAGTGAACACGTATCTTTGACTTTTCTCTGAGTCTTCTCTTGTGAGCTCCAAATCGCTACACCAGCAACTTGCCATGAGTCGGAAAAGCTACTTGCTTCAATGGGTGTATTAAACAAGAAAGCAAGCAAGCTTTCTGTTATTGGAGTTTCAGAAATTAGCTAGAGATGTTGTCAATCCCGAATCTCTTTGTTGTCTTAACCGTTGCATATGCATACCTGATCATGTGCACTCCAATTCTATTGAAAAAGATTTTGCCTCATGTTTATTAGTTCCATTTTCTTCTGCCAAAAGGGGTTTTAGGGCGGGATTTTGGATCCGTTTCAATAAGCATTTACTCCGTACGTATGTCTGTAAACCATATAATGACCACTCGAGAAATCTCATGCACTCCCTTTTCACCCTTACCCTTTTCAAGTCCAAGATGCTGACGACACTCGCCAAATGCCCCAGTCTCACTAGAAGAGGCCAGATTTTTAGGTGAGCAACCAGTATTGTAAGTTATTTTCAGGTGAGAAACCAGTATTAGATGTTATTTTCAGGTAAGAAACCAGTATTACAGGTTATTTTCAGGTGAGAAACCAGTATTACAGGTAATTGTCAAGTGAAAAACGAGCATTGCATTCATCATACTAGACGAGTTCTTCCGCCCCAACAATATTGGGTTAAAACGGGTGTGCCTTTTTTGAAAATTTTGCGTTTAAGTTCAAATGAATTGCAGAATAGCTTCTGACTTTCCTAATGACAGTGTCTTGACAAAGACTATGATTGTAAAAACAGAAATTTCCAAACAATGTTTTCAACGCAGTAGATTTTTTTCCTTCATTTTGATGGTGTCTGACTCCAGCCATTGTTTGTTGCCTCATGCGTGCTCGTTTGCAGCTTAGTTATTTCAAGGCAATATTTGTACAATAACAAGACCCTCTTCCAGCAAATTACATCGACAGGCATCGGTTTGTTAGCATCAAAATGCATTGGCAGCAAGTCCCTCATGTTCACTACGCTTTCATTCATTTTAGCCACGCCCACTGCCAATCAGACGGGTTGCTAGTCATGCTTCAACAACGAATAATGTAACCACACCTCTTTTAAAGCCTTGCTTGACGTTTGTTTTCACCTAATATTATTTTTCAAGCAATCCTTCCAAGCAAGCAGCGCTTTTTTGGACTCACTACGTTGCTTTTCTGCTGTATCGTTTTCTGCTGTATCTTTCAAAATTTCTGATTAAAAGCGATGGCAAGCTGCCATTGTATCCTTTTGCTTAAATCTTTATAAATAAACGTCTGTTATTAACATATTTCTTGTTATAAAAATAACTCTATTGTACACAATACCTTTACCTCTTTCCCACAGAATGTGTTTCATTTTGCAGATCACACCTGCTATTTTGTCTCTGTTGAAAACATGTGGTTCACTTGGGTCTGTACGAAAGCATTCGGTTGAGTCTGTACCCCGTAGGTTTCATATCCTGGAATTTAGAACGACCTTCACTAATCAAAATCTTTATTGATGAGTCTCTGAAAAAGGAGATGTTGAGATAAAAGAATTTTGCAAGGTTTGAAAAATATTCGCATGTAAGTCTTCTGTTCTGCACTCAAAGGATTTATGTTTTTATGCTGGATCTTGTTTTTCAAGCAAAACGTGAAAGCCTACTGTACTTAATTAATTGTAGTGTAGCAATTAGCTAAACAATTTTCAAAAATATTCTAGGCGACAATAAAATACTCAGCACTGAAATCGTGATGGATCTTGGGGAGTCTCTCAACCCTGCTATTGACATTGGTCAGATTGAAGGTGCTTTTATGCAAGGCTATGGTCTATTTGTGCTGGAACAATTCCAACATACACCAAATGGAGTGCCATTGACAGTTGGTCCATCGACGTACAAAATACCTGGTTTTGGTGATGTGCCTGAAGAATTCAACGTCTCTCTCCTCAGTGGTTTGTTACTTATATTTGCTATGTTTCATTTTTTATTTTATTATTTCGGAGAAAACTAGAGAGTGAATTTTATCAAAATTGCCATAACTGACAAGCTATTGCATTAAGAATTTGGATTTACTTACTTCGTGCTTAATGTTTTACTAATTTTGTTTGCAGGCTCTCCAAACGTAAGGGCCCTCTATTCTTCGCGAGCTGTTGGTGAGCCACCATTGTTTCTTTCCGCATCTGCATTTTTTGCAATCAGGGATGCCATTAGGTATGCTCGTAAAGATGCCGGCTACAATGGAATCTTCAAACTAGAGGCACCAGCAACGGCAGAACGAATCCGCATGGCATGTCAAGATGCGCTGACTGAAATGGTGCCTGAATTCGAGGAAGGCACTTTCCAGCCGTGGTTCATACAAGTCTGATTTGCTTGGACAAGATCGTTTTAACTGAAGAAGATTGTTTGCTATCATTTGTTGTGCTATTCATTATATATATACTTTGTTTCGTACTGCAGCGAGCTTAAAGGTAAATAGATGCTTGGATTTGTTGAAGCAAAACCAAATGCAACATTTGTAGAAATCAACAAACTGGAGCGCTGGGTGGAAATGGTATTAGCTTGGAGTTAATTTTTTTTTAATGCTCCAGATTGGTTGAAAGCCTTAAGGAGTAAACGATTGAAGATTGAAGTTGCTTGATATCAGTATTCTGACTAGTATTTTGAAGACAATTTGTCAACCAATATATTCACTGAGAGTAAGGACCCTTCTCCATTGCTCTAAAGACTTTCGTCAGTTTTATCCTTATTTAAGACACCTTCCAGTAATATTTTTTGCTTGGAACCTTCTTGTGCAATCAAAATTTTGTTTCATCTCAGACCAATAAAAGTAATGAAAAAAACAATGTCAACAACTGTGTGGCAAAAGAAGAGAGTTACTGTGGAGAACTCGGATATTGTTGGTTGATATGGGCCTTCTAAACGTAGAAAATGCATAGAAAAGTTTAAGAGTAACATGGTAGGCTTCGCTATTTTGTGATTTGCTACATGCTTTTGCCCAGGTAAGAATTGGGACACCCAGTTACAAGCCCACTTTTTTCTGAAAGCACCTCGAGTTTATTGATCGTGTGCAATTCTTTTACCTTCCACACCGATTTTTACAAGAACTGCGATTCTTTATTGGACCGGAACCTATTCTTTCGTAATAAAGATATTAGATGTTAGAAGTATCAGATTTTGGTTTCATAAGAGGAATTTACTTCTAGTTTAAGCAAAGACTGTTATCAAATTCGGATTATATCTGAAGATTAAAAACGACTTAATTGAACAAAGGAATAATTTACTTCGAAAATTCCAAGCAAAAATATGAACCTGTGTGTGTCTTTGATCATGAATTTTTGTACTCAATGAAGTACAAAGTTCCCTTAGTATAATTTGATGGAAACATACAGGATCTCATCAAATTGTTGGTCCAAAATTCCAGTTACCTAAAGCATCATTTTTTTCTACTTTTATAGTGGTATAGCATTGTAGACTAATTTATTTTATAGTGGTATAGCAGTGTCACACTGTGAATTATATACAAGCAAAGAAGTCTGGTAAATTCTTTGTTTTTTAAATAATATTTGATTGTTATGATATTTTATGACCATCTCGCATTACAAATATGTCATGATCTTTTTTAATCGTTGAAGTTATGTATCACTATGTAATCGTTTGAAAAACAATTTATGTATTAAACTGCCAATTTAATCTTTTTAGGTACTGTCATAATGATAAGTATGGTGCGCATATACCGCCAAAAATAGCTCTTTCTAAAATTTCAGCAACTTTCTAAAAGTTTAGTGATCTTCTAAAAGTTCAGTTGCTCTGTCTAGTCTTAAAATTTCAGTCATTTCCAAAATTTCAACCACCGTTCAACATTTTCTAAAATTTCAATTACTTAAGCAACGTTTCTAAAATTCCAATCGCTTGCTCTGCCAGATTTCAGTCATGCTAGGTTAGTTCTAATATTGCAACCATTTCTAAAGTTTGAACCCCCGCTTAACATTTTCTAAAATTTCAATCACTCTAAAGTTTCAGTGGCTTTTCCAAAATTTCAATGGTGAATGTTGATAACCTCTTCCTAAACTTTGCCAAGCAGCCTCCTTTTCCACCATTTCCCCGAGAAAGTAAGTGCAGGTGGCAGCATGGCTGGCATTATTGCTTCAAAAAATCCATGACCCCGGATATGCAAAAAAACTCAAATAATGAAACATTTCTAGAAAAATTTTTTTTGTTCGAAACAACCTAAAAAGCTTTAAAATACGTCCGCAACACCATTTGTGGAGTTTCCAATGAATTTCAGGCCCGTACCTCTCAAAAAGTTGATCTTTCGCAATCAATTCTTATTCTTCTGATCGTGTCACAAACCAAATCAGCAGCGGACCATCGTTGTAGCAGAGAAGCTTCCGCCATGACTTTCCTATATGCTGGAGCACAAAAGGAGGCTGCTTGGCAAAGTTAGAAAGAGCTATTTTTGGCGGTATATGCGCGCCATAGATAAGTGGTACTCAGTTTTTTGTTTGAGATATGGATATGTTGAAAGATTGAATGATAAACGATATTTTTTGTCAGATGATTCTCGGAATGTAACATATGCGACTTCGACAAAGCTTGACACCGCTCGATACCGTTCGACATTTGTGTGTAGTACAAGGTGCTCGGGACTGTGGTATGTGGTACAAGGGGCAATAACGTACGATATTTCAAGAAAACCGGGATGATTTTTAGGGACTTTCAGAAAAAGAAAACATCTTCAACGTTAATGTATGAGATTTCAACCAAAGCAAAAAATATTTAGGGACTTTTGGATAAAGAAGAGGATTTCTGACAAAAATGTCCGAGAATTTCATGTAATTATTTGCCCCTAATGAAAATCTTGCCAGTTTATGCTAGGTAGGAAGATAGGCAGGCAGGCAGGTACTAGAGTTGGCATTTTTATTGATATTTATGTTGTCTGGCATTTTCAAGAGCTTTCGACTTTGATTTGTTTAAGGCAAAGCGTAGGCTACTGTGTCCACATGGCTGTGTGTCCACATAGCTGAAAATTGAAATTCATTGTAGCCGAAGATTGAAATCCATTGCATGTACTTTGATTTTCGATATGAAAGTCTCAAGATAAATGCTTGATAGCTGCTAAAAACTTAATATCAGAAGATCTATACGGAGTGCATCACGATCACAAATTTTCAACAGATTTTCAATTGAAGTACAGTGTACAAGTAGATTTTAAATCCGGCCTATTCATTCCTGATAGTTCCCTAAGGCGCCATATTGCCGCCAGTATTGTTGCAAAATTGTTATAAAACATTTAGAATGAAGGAGTGCCCAGAATGATCACCTTCGCAAATTTTATCTTTTGATTAATATAGTTTGATGCAAGCAATTGCATTTGTGAAATTAAACTTGTGTTTGGGAATATGTGAAATTCTTTATTGAGGACATGGTTGCCATGAATTTTTAGACAGCATTGCTCCTCTAATATCGTCTAACAAAACATCTTCATTTCAATTGTAAAAGATGTTTTAAGTGAAATAATCAAGCGTTTCCATATAAATTTTGTGTTCCGATCACAAAAATAAAGCAAGGAATTTAGAATTCAATTAACAGTTATAATGTGTCGTAGATAAAAGCGGCTTTAACGATGCTCATCTTTTAGCTTAGTTTTATTTTCTATTAGGGCCTGTTTAGGTGAGCAATATCATCCCATCGGTCAGCAAATGGGCTGGCTGGGAGAGAAAGATTTGCTACCATCTGTTTTTATCCCACATCCAAGCCCTTCCTTCGGAGAACAACCCATCATTTTTAGTGACAGAATGTGACACATCCCTCCTCTCTGCCACTTAAGCCTTTTTCAGATGGGTCATTTTCTCATAACAGAGGACATTAGGTCAAGAACAGGATTTCACTTGCTCCTATTAAATCTTATCAACGAGATGGAATTTACAAAGCCAAATACGGCAAGGTCGCATTTCAGCTCTATGTATTCAAAATGAAGCAATTCTGATCCTATAAACAGTGCTAAGTAAAAAAAGAAAAGCCTGCTAGATTCCTGGGCAGTAACATGTTTTTTCATACATTCTTACAAAATTCTTTTTTAAGCTTTTTAAAGTGAACAATTTTTGGTAGTACAAAACTTTCAAACAAACACTCTAAAGGGCTATCGAAAGCGACACAATGCCTTTGTTGATACATTTCATTGTTAAAATTGATTACAAATGAAGGTGTCGCAGTCTCTATCAACTCAACGAAAACCTCCTCAGGGATGGTGGGCTATCATGGTGGCCCAGGTACAACGCGTTGGCACATATTTTGATGGTCTCACTCGAGGGAACATTTGTGAAAAGACTACTAATGTCGAAAGAACACATTAAAGATGTTTTGATGTCCAAGTTTTGCAGGAACTCAGCGAACGTAAAAGAATCCTTGATGCAATGTTTTGAATATTTTTTAAGAATAGGGTCCAAAACTTCAGAAAGCCACTTAGCCAATTCCTATTGTACTGACCAAATCATAGACACAATAGGTCTAAATGGGACGCTCGGCTTATGTATTATAGGGAAGATTGTGGGATAGAAAACAAACAACATGTCCCTTCTAGCAATTGAAACCAGTGGCGGATCCAGACCGTGTTCCAAGGGTTCTGGAACCCTGTCAAATCTTCCTAAGACACATTACACCAGTTTTCTCTTACTTTCGAATAAATCGCAACGAGTCTGAACAACAAATGGGTTCTTGTACCACAACCTTTGCTGCTCTCTAAATATGGTATTGCGAAAGAAAAGAACCCTGTCGTAGCCATGGTTAACTTTTGTAACATATCATTCTCCTCTAAAGAAAGGAACCTTGTCGTAGCCAAGGCAACCCTTTGTACCATATTGTATTTTTGTGAATTTTCGAAGAAACTTTTCCAACACGCCTCGCCAATCCGAGGGCTGGCCTGAAAAATCTTCCTTGTATGTAAGCGTGTATTTATCTATAGAGTAAAACTTTACCAAGATAACGTGAAAGACTTTAGAGAATGGGATAAAATGATTTCGTTTGTCATAATTTGCAATTTTTGATAATCGGGCTTGTTTGCTATATATGATTAGAGGCTTCGTCCATCGTTATCCATTTTTGACAATCTTGGTGAATATTTGTAAATTTGTTTTGTTTATTATTTGATAAAATTTATAGCATGAATTTCACTGAAATCTTGCAACACTCAGTAAATTGAACTACTGCTTAAAAAATATTATCTTGTTGAAATTAAACTTTACAATTGTGAATCTTATCAAAAGCGAATATGGTACTATGCGTTCTTCCACTTGTTTGATTAGAAGCCTCTCGAAAACTTTTGAAACAGAAAACTTTTGAAACAGTTGGCTTTTGAAACAGTTGGCAAACACTAACTGGCCTTTAGTTTTTCTTAACTGTACTTTCTTTTTGTCTATGAAGTGATGATACGTCTGCGCACATTAGCTCATCAGGAAAAGTACAGCTTCTAATGCAATTATTAAATATTTCCTGTAAAGGTTCGGAACATATTTCAGAATTTTTTTTAAGAATCTTTGGCGGTATATTCTTGAAGGTTGAGGCCTCTTTGGGATAAGTTTCCAGATGATAAAACATCATATAATCTTTAATGTGAGTATTGTTGTGAATACCAATGGTCTATAAAATGATCTATTTTATAAATCAGTGGTTGAATCTAAGCCTGAGCTCAAAAATAGCTTACAATACAGTCTGGCTAATTTGCAATACGAGACAGCCCCTTAAACCTTGCAGCTTTATGTGCTTTTGTCTGGCAATGTGCCCAACGACGATATCCAAAAAGCCGACATACGATCATAATACTTCCATGAAAATACTGAAAAACCTTTAATATATTTGAATTGTGTTTTCAACAGAATGGGTGATAGAGGGGACCCTTGTATAACCTGGATGATAGAGGAGAAGTTACGCTTTAATACCCATTTGAATCGCATCGCCAAGTAGATGCACATATTAATAAACATTATCATTGGCCTGGTTGTAGTAAATTCCTAGAAAATGCATCCTTTTCTCAATTTCTATTTCTTTCTAGGCTACTTCTTTCTCAGAATCTGGCAATTCTTATTGGCAACTTCATACTAAATTCAAAGCATTGGCATACTGCAATTTTTTTCATAAACAACAGCAGATATGCACAAATGATATCATCACCGAGCATAGATATTCAAATCTGGCACAGCACGATTTGTTATTGCGGTTGATGAAGAATGCTAATCCATTAATTAAAAACAGATATTTAGTGGTAACAAATCAAGTTGATATCGCTAATAGACTAATGCCAGACAAAAACACGGCCAACTGGTGCTCGATAGCGGTGCTAATAACTTGCGGTTCACTCTATTCAATATCTGGTAATGCTTCTTTAATAGATAATGACTTAAGAAACGGCTTGATCAATTATTGATCGATTCTTCCATGGGAAGAAGCTGTTTTGAAAGGTTATTTTGGAAATCCTAAGAATGCAAGCAAATCTTTCACGCAAGCTAATTTTCCAGTTAATGCTTTACTGTGTAGCCTCTATCTGAGCTTTGAAATAGATGCTTAGAGAAAGCTTCTTTATGCTGGGTCTGGGGCTCCTAATAAAACAATCTGGACATTTCACTGAACACTCCACAAAACAATTGTGCTATGTTCTGTGTTAAGTGGCCAAATGAGTTGAACTCGTAACATAACATTTGCTGAACATTTTCAGAGTCTGTTACAAGAAAGAAGGAAGATGAAAGACAAGTGAGAAAAATTAAGGAAAGAGCGACAATTGATGAAGAAAAACGAGATAAAGGGCATCTATCACAATATTGTAAGAGTGTTACTCACTAAAGATGCCTATGGGAACAAAGAAATGCTTAGAATTTAGCATAAAGATTTTCTTCTTACGAGGATATAATAGATTACTCCTGTCAAAGCTTTGACCTGTAAGTGGGAGACATAATCTTGATCTTGAGCTCAGCAATGGAATTCTATGGCTCTTTCTCGATTTCAGCCTTGGCATTTTCTTGTTTATCTCTTAAGTAGTGCACTTATCAGTTGACGGTCTTATGAACCAGCCTCGGTTCAAACAGCTTAACCGGATGTCTTAAAGATATGTATCTGGTCTAATGCGTACCTTTAAGGCCCTTAACGTCTGTTTACTTTATTGCCAGTTTCTGACCTTTTGTTTGCTCTTTGCCTCTAGCTACGTATTTGAAGCAGCTTCAGTATCGCTTCGACTGCGGAACTATCTCCATCATGACACGCATGATTCATTTTATGATGAAGTTTTCAAGCTTTTGCATTCTCTGATCCATGAAGCAATCTTCATGAAGTTGACTTTTCGCTTCATGCCTTCTGCCATTTGCAACAACAATTAAGAGAAAATACCACGAACTTTTTCAATAAATCTTTTACATTTTTTGTTCATTTGACCAAGCGAACTGGACATGAAAATGACACTAAACAAATTTGGTCACTACTAATTTTCACTAAACAATGTTTCAGAGACTGAAAAAAGTGGCAAACTGGAGCAGATTTTTCACTGAA